CTCTCTCAAATAAATAAATAAATCTTTAAAAAAAAAAAAAAAGGAATGTACTGAAGTGTAGTTTCCATTTACTTAAAAAAAAAAAGGGCAGAACAAAACCACAATAACTGTTCTCTAAAGAACAAATAGAATTTTGTGATTTATTTTATCACAAGCTTCACAGTTAACTCTATATATATTAATTCATTTTCCATCCATAGTTGGCATAGGTTATTTGCTCATGACACCAATTTGGAATTTGAGGCTTTATCAATTGTATAGAGATAAAAGAATTTGGCAGAAAAAATTAATTCTTGATTTCTTGTTTTTTATAAAAAATTCTGGTTGGGGGTGCCTGGGTGTCTCAATTGGTTAAGGGTCTGCCTTCAGCTCAGGTCATGATCCCGGGGTCCTGGGATCGAGCCCCGCTCTGGCTCCCTGCGTAGCGAGGAGTCGGCTTCTCCCTCTGCCCCTCCCCTTGCTCCTGCTCTCTCTCAAAATAAAAATAAAATCTTAAAAAAAAATTCTGGTTGGAGTGATATAAATAAGTAACTTTATTTTTTTGCTATTCAGGAGCTAAGATTGATTCACAAGAGGCCTTTTATCTATATGCTTGTGGACCCAATCATACATCTATAATGCCATGCAAATATGGCAAGCCTGTGAATGACTACTCCAAATATATTAATAAAGAAATTTTGCAATGTGAACAAATCAGAGAACTTTTTATGACCAAGAAAGAAGTGGACATTGGTCTCTTAATTGTAAGTTTTCATTTTATAAGTTTTGACTTTATGGGAACTGATAATATATCTTTATTAAATGTGTAATTAGCTATGAATTAAATTTCTAAAGTGTATCTTCTTTCTTTCTCAACATTTTTGCTCCTTAAGAACATAGTTTCTTCTTAAAAAAATTGAAATACTCAGAATTTGCTTTCAAGTTTCAAATTTTTATCCCCTTTTCCTTAGAACTATATTTCTGTACTAAGTATTAGTTTATACCTCCTAGTCATTCAAGAAAAATGTTTATGATATAGTGAAAATATAACATGTGTTAGCCTAAAAAATATTGCTCATTATATTTCATTTCCGTATTTATAAATAAATATTAACTTTTATTTATAATATTAGCTTTAATTATATATACTCAGATTTTAGAATATTTATTCTTTAATATCAATAACAATAAGGAATTTGGCTTTCAAAATATTGCTAACTCTGCTTATATGAGACTCTCAGATTGTTTTTTATACATTATTGTAATATTTTGTTCTAGTATACAATTTAGGAACTTGCGGTGGATATTTTTCATTATAGCAACTAGAAAGCTGAGCCTTTGTCTTAGAAGATCTACTAAAAACTGGTAGATCTGACCATGAAACTGTGTTCCTCCTTCTCTTGCCTCTTATGAAAGGTACAGTTAGAGGTCAGAGATGATTTTTACTTGAAGGAGACTACTAATTTGGAATGTATTTTGTTGTTGTTAATGAGATGTATATTTCATAATCAAAATAAATTCTGTTTTAAAGCTGTAACATTTGACTAAAGGAAAGGAGAAATTCTAGTATAGATATTTTGTAAAACATATGTAAGTCTTAAGTGGTGTTAAATATGTATCTGTGGTAAAGTAGCTAGAGGGTAGATACCTATGGAATTTGGCTAATGATCTGATACTGTGCATATGGTCTTTTTCTCCCTAGGGCGTATTAGAAAGGGGGCTGGGAGCACTATAGTGGTCCACTATGATGGAGCGGTGGTCACGGATGCCTATGGAATTTGGCTAATGATCTGATACTGTGCATATGGTCTTTTTCTCCCTGGGGAGTATTTAAAAAGGGGCCTGGGAGCACTATGGTGGTCCACTATGATTGAGCGGTGGTCAGGGATGCTAAATGTTCCACAGTGCAAGGGCAGTATTATACAGCAAAGAATTACCCCAAATGTCTCACCGTTGAGAAAACATGCTTGAGGGAAATGTTTCTCAAACCTGAGTATGCATCAGAATCACTCAGAGGACTTGTTAAAACAGATTGCTGGGCCAGAGTTTCGGAGTCAGTAGGGTCCAAAGTGTGGCCTAGGAACTTGCATTTTTAACAAATCGCAGATGATGCTGATGCTGCTGGTTCAGGACCACACACTGGGAATCCATGCTTTAGGGAGACCAAGGAGTTCACACAACTAGTGTTTGTTCAGATAATAATTTTAACTCTCTAGTTTTTGGTTAGTCCATTTGTTTTCACACGCAAAATTACCTTAATCCTTTTATTTTGCTTAAAAAGAATTAGATAAGTCATAAAACTTAACATAAATTATCACAAACAAAAATTCAAAGGGTTTATTGTGAAAACTCTTTTTAGCAAGCAAATTTTTTTAGCCTGGTTTAGTAACTTGGGGATTATGACGTCATGAGCAAAAAGTCCGGCAAGGTGGGGGTGTCACGTGGGACTCGTCTCAGGCAGATGAACATTTTTTCAGCTTGCTGATGAAAACTACTGCAGGTTTAAGGTTTTGTTTTGCCCAGCGTAATCATATATAGTAGACTGTTAGTCGTGTTAGTTGGTATACAAATGTACCAGATGATGTCTGGATGAAACTGTATTTAAATCACCGTGGTTGAAAGTGATCAAAGCCCAAGACCCCCATAGTTTCTGTGAGAAGCACATGATTTCCCTAAGCCTGAGCTCCCTACCTGAAGTTAGAACCTGATTGATACTAGCCTCTGTGGGGAGAAATATTGCAAAATCGTTTCAGTTTTAGTTAGGAATGATGATAGTCTGGAATTTTATTCTAGTAGAAAGATCTGGCTTACAGTCACTTTTAAATGAGTAGTCAGCCTATGAACAAATTCAAGGCAAAAATTTTGAATTCATTGACCCAGAGTTCCTATTTCATGAGGTTGTAAAGATCGGTTAATATTTGTAAATGCAAACAACAGTGCCTGGTATGCAATGAATGTGGTATAAGACTCAGCTGTTCTTAGTAGCAATAGGAAGTGTAATTTCATGTTTATTCTAAAATGGTTAAAGCCGGAATCTTTCCCAGCCTTGACAAGGTTTATATTATTTATTGGTCACTGCTAATTGAAACTGATCTTTTCCTTTGTGGGGAGCCACATTGCTCCTCATGTTTATCTTTGTTTAGTGTAGTGTCTGTCAAAGAAAACAATTTGTTGGGTACCTTTTCACTTTGAAATATTTATTTGCTGGTTGATAACTTTTTAAATTTTGTTTAGTTACTAAAGGAAAATATTTGTGTTTCAGGAAAGTCTTTCAGTTGTTTACACAACTAACTGTCCTGCTCAGTATACCATCTATGAGCCAGTTATTAGACTTAAAGGTCAGATGAAAACCCAACTTTCCCAAAGACCCTTCAGCTCAAAAGAAGTTCAGAGCATCTTGTTAGAATCTCATCATCTAAAGAATCTCCGGCCTACTGAATGTAAAACTATTCAAGGCATTTTGCACGAGATTGGTGGAACTGGTATATTTGTTTTTCTCTTTGCTAGGGTAAGAATCACTGATTACAGTTTTATCTGAAGAGAAACTACTTCTTTAATACTGCTAAATTTCAGTGGATTTTTTTAAATTACAAAAACAATTATAAATCAACCATATTAAACTTTTAAGATAAAATCACATGTTGGTTAGGAAGTCATCAAGCTTTCTGCCACACATGGTGAAAATTTCTTTTAATTGTGGAGATTTTAAAAGTTTTCTACTATCCAGAAATGTAATTAGAACAATTAAATATTAAATGTACAAGATTTAATGGGGTGCCTGGCTGGCTCAGTGGGTAGAAAGTGCGATTCTTGATCTTGGGGTCATGAGTTCAAGCCCCACATTGGGTCTAGAGATTACATTTAAATATATAAATAAATGTACAAGACTTAAATTGTCAATGAGGAAAAAAATACATGTTATAGTAACAAAAAGAAGAAAGGTGTTCTTTGGACAACTGGGCACATTCAAGGTGGTATGGCCTTAGAAAGGAATGTATTCTTTTTTTTTTTTTTAAGATTGATTTATTTATTTGAGAGAGAGCATGGGGGAGGGGCAGAGGGAGAGGCAGAAGGGGAGGGAATCTTAAGCAGACTCCCCACTGAGCGCAGAGTCTGTCTCGGGGCTCGATCTCACGACCCTGAGACCAGGACCTGAGCCGAATCCAAGAGTCCGACGCTTAAACCAACTGCCACCCAGGCGCCCCAGGAATGTGTTCTTTAAAATAAGGTTTGTGAAATTTGTTTTTCCCAAGCTTCCAGATGCATGGAAAAAAACAACGGTCAGCAAATAAGTACAAAAAATAATTTGAGTTTGTTTGAAGTTTTTTTAAAGAGAAGGAGAAATATAAAAAGCTTGACTGATGTCATGAGTACTATATTAGAATAAATTGTTTAACTCTCTGTTCTACTTAGTCGTCTTAGGGCAGGGACAATGTCTTCCCTGACATAGAGTAGACTGTCAAATAAGTACATACTGATTGTTTACAGGGATTGCTGAAATCCTAAATAGGGAGTACAAATGGTACTAATTATCTGTCCTTCCTCAAGGTCCATTTCCTTGTTTAACTAAAGCAGCCTTAATCTTCTTTCAACCTTAGAATTTTATTTCTAGGTGTAACTTCTGCAGCATTCCCCAATTTTCATTGTCTCCCTAACTGGCTTGCTTTCCTCGATGGAACCACCACCTTTGATTGATTTTGCAATAAGGGGCACATCAGTGTCTGTTATTATCATTACTGTTCTTATAAATATTTTGTAAACATTGACTCAGGATACTCTATGCTGTTTTTTTCTTTTCTTCTTCCTTTTTCAAAATTTTTTTTGCATCCAATATCTAGTTGATTTTCCCATAATATTTTAAAATTAAAAGCTTTTTAACTCCTCATCAACATTTCATGACTGACTTTTATAGCTTTGTATAATAAAAAATGTATATCTTTGGTTTTCCCTCTTTCATCAAGTTACTGAACATAATGTTGTTATGATTACTGTTACACAGTGACTAGATCCTAGAGAAAATGGTTGATCTTTTGTTTTACCCACATTTAGGATCTTGCCAATAAGACTTCTAATGTATGTTGTCACACTTAAAACTTAGGAACTTTCTTCACTATTTTTCCCCCTCCCCTACAAAATTAAATTTAGGCTTCTTAAAAACCTTGCATGTATAGGCTGCCTGTTGAACTGAATGTCTACCATCCAGCCAAATAGGCAACTTGCAGCCTCCTAACTGTACCAGGAACTTTTGGCTTTAGGCCTTTACCCCTCTCCTGTCTCTCGCACCCGGCCATCTGCTGTTCCTACTTTCTAGGATTTTGCCATCTTTCCAGGCCATCTTCTCTCCATTTAGCCTTCTCTAACCCAAGCAGAATAGAGTCGGAAATAGTTTCTGCGCCCTTGTAACACTCAGATCTCATTCTTGTTTGCCTTTAGTCATGATAATGAGGTGTGTGTTTCATCTATAGTAGTTGTCAGAAAGCATTGGTTTAATTGCAGTACAAGGCAAATCTGTGGTTTACATAGATCTTGTCTTTTGACTAGATAGTAGGCCCCACTGGGGGCAAGCATCATGCCTTTTACTTCTTTGTTTTCTTCCACAGCATGTAATACAGAGCCTTTTTGTTCATGGACTAATAAAAAACCTGAGGCATTTTGCTGACATTTCAGATCACTAATAAAATGCTACTGACTTACACAGTTGTAAATGTTATTTTAGTTCATTGATAGTATATTTAAGAGACTAAAGATCATGGGATTTATGTCTTTCATTTTTGTTTATTTATAATGCTTGAATAATGAAGTGTGAGCAAAAAAAATAGCTTTCAAATAAAACTGATGGATTGATGTTATGTATTAGTAGATAATCATACATGTTAAATTTTTCTCTCAGTAAATTAAAATAAATATATATATATTTTTTAGGTTGTGGAACTCAGTAGCTGTGAAGAAACGCAAGCATTAGCACTGAGAGTTATACTCTCATTAACTAAATATAACCAACAGAGAATACATGAATTAGAAAATTGTAATGGACTTTCCATGATTCATCAGGTGTTGATTAAACAAAAATGCATTGTTGGCTTTCATGTTTTGAAGGTATGTCCTCATAAAATTTATTCTTACAGTTTCATATGCAATGATACTTCTCCATTAGTCTTCCAACAATAGAATTTTGTGTTTCAGTTACTTCTGAAGAAAACGAAGGAAACTCAACAGTGTATATTTAATCAAACTAAGATACTCTTCTGATTTTCTTCATCATTTACATAATTACATTTTTGTCTTGTTTAAAGCATTTTAGAAGAGTAAGAGAAAAAAAGTAACTCATAGAATTTTAGATCTGGATGAACTGGAGCTATCTCTTAAGCCTGGCCCCTCATTCTGTAGGTTGATGAAATTAAGACCCACAGAGACAATTGTTGTTTGCCTCAGCTCCCAGTTATGGAAGAGAACCCAGAGTTAGTTTTTTAAAGCTGTATTAGTTTTTATTTTGATCCAGCTATCATCATATACTTAAACACCTTTCTAGCTAAAAGCATTTGGTAACGTGAAACTATTTCTCTCTGAGGGTACTAGTAGTAAGGCAAGAGACTATCTCTTCACCTGCACCCTCAACCCCCCACTCCTTAAAATATCAAGATCCACATTTATGGCATGAATCCTTAGTACTTTTTGGAAAAGGGTTTGTTTTTCTTTTTTAAAGATTTTATTTATTTCAGAGAAAGAGAGAGAGAGAGAGAAAGAACACAAGCAGGGGGGAGGGGTAGAGGGAGAAGCAGGTTCCCCACTGAGTAGGGAGCCTGATGCAGGACTCGATCCCAGGGTCCTGGGATCATGACCTGAGCCGAAGGCAGACGTTCAACCGACTGAGCCACCCGGGCACCCTTGGAAAGTTTTTAAAGCCTAACAGATTCATTGAATTTAAAAAATAATAGAAAAACAAATAAAAATAAAAAATAAAAATAGAATGTTTATTTTACCTGTGTTTGAAACTGAATAATCATTTACAAATATTTGAAAGTTTGTATTTTTCTAATTTGAATTGAAACAAATTAAGGATACTATGTGAAATGTTGAATTATTCACTAGTTTTCCTTTGAATTTAATGTTATGACTGCTAAGATTGAAAGCTTAATGTTTCTGTTGAATTTTTGGATTAATTATCTATTAATGCATCTTGTATTAATGCTAATTTTCCATAGACCCTTCTTGAAGGTTGCTGTGGTGAAGATATTATTCATGTCAATGAGAATGGAGAGCTTAAGTTGGATGTAGAGTCTAATGCTATAATCCAAGATGTTAAACTGCTAGAGGAGCTATTGCTTGACTGGAAGATATGGAATAAAGCCAAGGCATGTGCTTTTATTGATTTTATTTCTTTTAAGATTTATTTATTTATTTGAGAGAGAGAGAGTGCTCACGCGCACGCACGTGTGAATGGAATAATAGTGTGGAGTAAACTTTAAGATTTGCTTTTTCAGATAAATTTAATCTTTGACCCTGAATATACACACAGTGATAGACTAATATATGTCTTCTAAAAAGGATGTAGTATGTTTTTCAATAACCATGTGCTGATTGGTATGTGTTTATTTTCTCAGCAAGGAGCTTGGGAAATGCTGCTGGCAGCTCTAGAAGTCCTCATCAGAGCGGATCACCACCAGCAGGTCTTTAATATTAAGCAGTTACTGAAAGCCCAAGTGGTCCATCACTTTCTACTAACTTGTCAGGTTTTGCAGGTACTTTTCACATAACTTTACATTGGGAGATATTTTCCACAATTACTTGTTTAGTAACTCAGTACTGTGAACTCACATTTTTGTGGGACTTTCAATGGAAGGAATTTTTTTTTTTTTCTCTTCTCCATCTTCCCTATTCTCCTGGATTCTTTCTACGCAACCCCTGCCTCCTACAGCTTGACCTTCGCACTTCCATCATGCCTCACTCAATTACAAAAGAACAACAACTACTGTATTTCTGCGATGTCTCTATGTTGGAATAGAATAATAATTTTGTAATCTCTTGAATATCAACAATAGGAAAATTTTAACTTGTTGTAAGCTTTGCATAGTGGCAGAATGGTGGCCAGTGAGGTTTAATCTGAGGCATGATTATTGCTAACTGAAACTTATCCCACATTCCTTAAATAATAAGTGCAAGTATGTTTTGTTTTAATAAGTATGGATTTGCCGAAGATCTATTATATGTACCAGAAGTAGCATATTGAAAATATATCCAAAATATTATATATGAAAAAGTGGCACACTCACTCGCCTCTCCAGTAGTGTCTGTGCTATGGCCTGGCTTCTAGTTAAATCTTTTGCTCTGCCTTCATAGATGTCCTTAAATTTATCACTTTGGTCAGTGTACGAGAATATTTTTCAGGTCGTTTGTTTTTTTTAGTGAGACATCTAGTAGCACTTCAGGTTGGATAAGTTCAGATGTTCCCTGAGAGCAGTAATATTTCTGTTTTTAATGCCTTCGTTTGATGGCACCAGTGGCTTCCCATTGCACTTGGGATAAAATCCAGACTCTGTGACAATATCTAAAGAGAGCCTATATGCTCTGGTGACCACACCAGCCTCACCTCATGCCACTGCAGCCCCCTGGCTTTTTTTCTCTTCCTTAAACAAGTGAGTCTTTCCCCCTCTCAGGGCACATGATATTTTTTCTGACTGAGAAGTTGTTGATCCTTTTCTTTCCATCTGGCCTGCTTCTCCTCATATCTCCACTTTAAATTTACTTCCTGAGAGAAGCCCTCCCTTCCCTATCCATCTAGAGTAACCCTTGCCCTTCCCCCGACTCACTCCATGCATCTGCATTTGTTAGTGTCATGTCGTCATTTCTGAAATTCTGGTTTATTTCCCTCTGTAAACCTGCTGAGGACAAGGATAATGTTTTTTTCTTTTTCTTTTTGATTATTTTTTTAATTTAAATTCAGTTAATTAACATATAATATACTATTAGCTTCAGAGGTAGAGTTCAGTGATTCATCAGTCTTCTTTAACACCCAGTGTCCCATTACATCATGTGCCCTCCTTAATGTCCATCACCCAGTTACCCCATCTCCCCTCCAGTAGATAATGTTTTTTTCTTGATCACACTGTAACTCCAGTACCTGGCACATACAGGCACCCAATATATATTTGTTGAATGAATGAATTCTAAAAAAACAAAAACAAAAACATTTTATTGCCTTTCTTTGGCCCTGTGGTAAATTAGACTGCTGTCTTCAGGAATACAATACAGTATGCTCAGAGGCTCACTGCTTGCTTGCTGAATAGTTTATGTAACATTTATACAGCAATTTTTCTCTAAATCAGTTTTCTTTGTATATCCACTTTGAAACTTGCTGACTAATTTCAAAGAGTTCACAAGACAGTGTGAAGTTCTTATTCAGTCTTTCCATGTCAGAAAAGTAACACTTGTAAACTAGGATATATATATATATATATATTCTCATTTCCATATATTTATAAAAATGCTAGAAAAATCGAGGTACCAATTCCTTTTCCTGAAAAGTATATTTCTTCATCCTTCTTCATTCAAAGAGCCCATTATCAAAATAACAGTTAGTTATTAAGAATTGTTTTATGTTAGGTATTGTGGGAGGTATATAAAGAAATGAACTTAATTATTGTCTTTATGGTATCTCAGAGTATTTAAGAAAGATTGATAAATTGGTAGTATATTGGATGTGGGGCCATTTCATTAGTTCATGAGTACAGTGTAAAGAACCTGAACTCAGGTGATAAAAGCAGGAGTGTAAAAGTAGGGAGCAAATATGAAGGAGATTGTAAAGGGAATTAATAGGGCTTGGTTCTGTCTAAATAGGAGCTATAGGAGAAATGAAATATATGATGCAAAATTTCCACCTGGGAGACTAGAAGGATTATAGCATCATGAAAGAAGGAATTGTACACGCAAGTTTTGTAGCTTATCCATTCTGCATCTGAGATTACAGTGGGGCGTTCAGTGGCCGTGACCAGTGGACACTTAGATGTGCAAGATTGGAACTGGGGACACGGCTGAGAGGGACAGATGGGGGACTGTCTGCACTGAAGCCACGGGGACAGATAAACACTACAAGATAAACAGTGTAGTGAAAGGATCGTAGAGGGCTGTGGCTTGCACCTCCGGAAATACCCATTTTCAGGTATGAAACAGGAAAAAGAAACTGTTGAAAGATGTAGAAAGAGTAGTCAAAGAGCTAAGGGAAGAACCAGGAAACAGTGAAGTGAAAGCCCAGGGTGGGCAGAGGGGGAAAGAAAAAGGTGATCTCCAGAGCCAAATAATGTGGAAAGTTCAAAGAAAATGTGGACAGGTAAAGGGCCACTGACAGAAATTCTTTAATGACTCGCAAGAATCATTAAGGAATGAAGAAGGCAGGAACCAGGTTTCGGGGATTTTAGGCAGCACGTGTGGTGGATTCATTAGAGATAGTGAAAATAAATAATGATTAAAAGGTCTAGCGGCGAAAGAAGAGAGAAACAGAAAGTTAACAAAAGGTTCCCAAAATTCAAGTTAAGGGAATTTTTTTTTTTTTTTTGAAAAAGAGAGTAGGGGGAGGGTCAGATGGAGAGAAAGAATCTTTTTTTTTTTTTTTGAGAGAGAGAGAGAGAGAGAGATCTGAAACAGGCTCCATGCCCAGCATGGAGCCCCGACGTGGGGCTTGATCTGACCTGAGATCGTGACCTGAGCCAAAGTCAAGAGTGAGACACTTAACTAACTGAGCCACATAGGTACCCCAGGGGATTTTTTTTTTTTTAATGAAGTAGGATACTAGTGGCTATTTGTAAGGGGTCAGTGGAAAGGACAAGACTGAGGAAACATGGCCTGGGATGGACTTGGGAATGAACGGCTGGGGTGGCGACCAGGAACGGGGAAGGCACCAGGGACACGATTCTGAAAAAAGGCAGATGGCTATGGCAGAAGTAACACTGATGTAGCAATTCCACAAGAGTAAATGAAGAAAAGTGGGTGTAGACATGTATCATTTTTCAGATGTATCACATCACATATACAGGGAGAGGGAAGATGAGGAAGTTTAACTCCCTCGGTGTTGATCTAGAAGCCAACTGCTACCTATTGGGGGGTGGAGTTGGAGAGTATAAATAATTTATTTATACCTGTCTTTATGTTTAGTAATTGCTTGGCATTCTCCCAGGTCTCCTTACATGGGGCTTCCTATATGTGAGGTGCTCTTCCAAGAGTCTGTCATTTAATCCTTATGACAACCCTATGAAGTAACATGATCATTCCCATATTATAGATAAACTGAGGCATGGAGATATTAAATATGCCCCCAAATCACCCAGCTAGTGAGTGGGGAAGCCAGAATGCACAGCTAGGTGGTTTGGCTTCTGAGCCAGGCTTGTGTGTGCCACAATATAACTTTGCCTTGTTAATTAAAATAAATGGGCTAGAAGTAAGTTGCCATTGGTTTTAATGAATTTTTATTGGCAAGATTGCTTGAATTGAGAAGTAGCAACTCAGTTTAATGGTAAATATGGTCAGACTAGGGTAGTAAACCAACACAATTCTGTCTTAAATGGAATCTGTTGCTTAAATGAAAAATGTTAGTTAAGTTGACAATTCTCTTTAAATCTAAAGAGAGTTTTTTTATTTTTTCAGGAACACAAAGAGGGGCAGCTTACTTCCATGCCCCGCGAGGTTTGTAGATCATTTGTGAAAATTATAGCAGAAGTCCTTGGATCTCCTCCAGATTTGGAATTATTGACAGTTATCTTCAATTTCCTTTTAGCCGTTCACCCTCCTACTAATACTTATGTTTGTCACAACCCCACAAACTTCTACTTTTCTTTGCACATAGGTAGGTATAATCATTTTTGTTAGATTTTGGCTATCTCAGTTTTCAGTATTTTTCTTCCCACTCGATCCACATTTGTTTGATATTCATGGACTGGCTTCTCTGTGCTGGAAACTGCCCTAATCACACACGGGGATTGGGACAGGGCAAAGGGCTGTAGAATGGGCCAGACACGGTCTCTGCCTTCAGAGAGCTTCACTGCCAGGAGGAGAGAGGGGACAAACACTCTAATAACTATAGTAAGAAACAATATCTGCTAAGTACCTAATAGATCCAAAAGAAGGACTGATTAGATTTTAGAGGAGTGAGGGTCTCATCAGACAGCTGTGGAGAAAGAAGATTTAATAGATTCTATATCTGACATGGGCGTTGAAGAATTTAGGTAGAATTTGAGAGGTTTCCAGGTAAAGAGAATGACTTAAAGGGAGAAAAAAAATAGAGAAAATAAAGAATAATGAATTTTACCCAAGTATAGGGATCTACAAAGGATCAGTGAGAAACAATACCGTAAATATAGTTTGGGACCGTCACTTATTTATTTTCCCCCCTAAGATCATATTAAATGGGTCCTTGAATGTGAGGCCAGAGAATTTGAACTTATATTCTATTTAGGGGTCACTGAAGGGTTTTGTTTTGTTGTTTTGTTTGTTTTGAGCAAAGAAATATGATGGAATTACATTACTGCAATAAAATTCAGGAAAGAGAAACTACCCACATAGAAGTAAGTTGAAGCTCTGAGACTAGATGAGACCACTGAAGAAAAGTATAGAGAGAGAGTGAAGGAAAAAGGAAGCAAAGGATAGAACTAAAGAAAGAGTAATTAGTATAAGAGAAAGATGGAATAACTAGGGTTTTAAAAGAACCAGGAAAATGTAATGTGGTAAGAAAGCAAGCAAGAATGTACCTATGAGAAAACTAGATAGTAAATTTAGAGAGGAAAACTGGTTGTAAAACAGGCATTTAGGAATGTAATAAATGAATAAAATGATTCAACAGCAGTAAAAATCCAAATGAAAACAGACAGCATGACTTTGTGTTTGGTTCAGCACACATTTAGTGAATAAAGTACTGTCAAGATTCTGGAAACAGGGTAGTTGCAAAGATGAGTAAAATGTGGTCCACTCCTATACGAAGCTTACAGCCTAGTTGAGGGGAAAGAGACATAAACAGGTAATGACATCATGTGGAAAGCACAGTGATAGAAATATTTTGTTTTCTGGAAGCATAGAGCCCGTTGAGGAGGGGTTTCCTGGAGGAGGTGATGCCCGCTTAAAGGCTGGGGAGGAGTTGAAGGGAAGGGGCTTCCAAACAAAGCAAACAGCTTGATTGGGAGCTGTGAGAAATAGGTGTATGGAACTGTCCTGGCAGAAAGAAGGCTGGAAGGGGTCTGGAGGCAGATCACGGAGATTCTCGTAGACAAGAAGTTTGGACTTTATCCATAGTGTTAAGGAGGCAACAGAGAGCTACTGGAAGGTTCTTAGCAGGGGTTGACATTTGATAGAATTCTGAAAGCTATGAGGATTTGAGGGTGACCAGATGTCCATCGCAGATACCGTTTAGAAGTCTGTGACAGGCCTCCAGGTGAGAGATAAGAAGCGCCCACATTATAGCACTGTGCTTGGGACAAGAGGAGTTCAAGAAGCAGAATCAAGTCAGCAGAACCTGGAAACCAACTTCACATGGATAAAGGAAAGGTAGTGGTCAAGGGTGAATCCTGATTTCTATTTAGGAAATGGGTGCTTCTGCCAAATGAACCAGAGAACAAAACAGAAGGACTGAATTTAGGGCAGAAAAAGGATTCAGATTTAGATTTGTAGCATTTATGGTGCATTTAAGAAATCGAGCCATTGAATTTACAAGTCTGAAGCTCAGAAAGGACGATTAAGCTGAAGTTTGGAGTCATATTGGACATTGAAGGAGTTATATAAAAATACAGGACAGAGTCCTTTCCTCAAAGAGTGAAGTGAACAGTTAGCTGTTCAAATACAGAAATAAATGTAAGTATAGTTGCAATTCAAAGAAAATAAAAGTTAACGTGGCAAGTAACAGTAAAAAAAAATCTACATCTGAGAAATAATAGCGTGTACTTGCATAGCAAATGTGCGTTAGTATAAAACATGCCATATTTTTTCACTTTGAACGTCTTTTCATAAAAATTTATATTTAATGATTTGCTTTTGAAATTATATTTTCGTTTTATCCTTTTAAAAAAATTTTACTGTCTCAAGATTTTTTTTTGATTCTAGATGGCAAGATCTTTCAGGAGAAAGTCCAGTCAATCATATACCTGAGACATTCCAGCAGTGGAGGAAAATCTGTTCCTAGCCCTGGATTTATGGTAATAAGTCCATCTGGTTTTACTGCTTCACCGCCTGAAGGTAAACATAAACAATAATGAAAGTGTAACCCTTCCTGATATAGTTCTGAATATTAGCAGATAAATAAATTGTACATGTTTTCACAGTATGATATACGTGATATTCAGATCAAATAAATGGAAGGTTAAAACAAAATTACAGAATATATTTAAGGAATGCATTTCATTACTTTCTGGGATCAGCAGCTCACACTCAATATAACAAGAGATACTCCAGAGAATTAGGGAACAGAAGAGGTGCATGCTGTCTTGCTCTGGAATTCTCTGTCCCCTTTTATCACAGTGATTTGTCTTTCATTAAGTTTCTGATTTATTTTCCCATTTTCTTCAAAATCTTTGTTTGGCTTGCTCTCTCCTTTCTACCTAAACGTCATTCTAGACAATGACCATCCTGTACTCCAGCTTCTTATTCTTGGACTCTGAGGACCTTTCCTTCTACTTTATCTACCAGTATACATGGACTTCATCATCATCAAGAAGACTTCCCAGCTCTGAAACTCCAGTATCCCACTCTCTGATAACAACCTCCTATCTTTCTGGTTTCTTTATCACCATCCCATGTTCCCTTCTGCCTGTTTTCCCCATCCAGCTTAGATCCCATTAGCCAGTTATTTTCTTGACACTGCCTTCAGCTTCCTTGTCCCCTTGCCTTTTGGCGTTCTTGACCTAAGAAACCCCAACCTTGCCTCAGTATAACTATCCTCATGCTGCTGAAAGCTGCTGAAGAGAATTCCTGTCTTTACAAGGGTCTCCAACTGTAGCTGGCCTTTTAATGCTGCCCTGTCATTCTTCAGTATGTTCAAAATCAATTCCCTTTTCTATTTCCATAACAATCTTTAAGCTTACAGTACTTTTCTGTCTTCCTAACTTAACAACTACCTCATCTCTACTTTTTATAGAGAAACAATAGGAACATGTCTCCTAGTTGTGAACTGGCTGTGCTTCTTTTCCTTTCCTGACAGCTGCTGTCTTCCAGAGAAGAGGGATGTGTTTTAATTGGTTTTATTTGGAATTTTATAGGAAATGTCTATCCTTAACATCCTTGTACATCACTGCAAACATTTTCAAATACAATCATTCCCCCCTTTTTTCCAGGTCTTTTGAACAGAATCTTTCAGCAGCCTTAGCCCTCCAGCCAAAATGCAGAAATAACTAGGAAAAACTTCTGAGCTACGGAGCTATTATTGCCAAAAAGCCTGTGCTCTAAAACAGTTCATCCAGTACCTATTTACTATCCAGAACATCAGTGTTCTCAAGTTTTAGCAGGCAAAAGAAAGCACCTGGAGAGCTTGTTAAAACACAGATCTTTGGGCCCCTCCCTCATATATTCCGATTCAGTAGGTCCAGGGTGGTGCCTGAGAATGTGCATTTGTAACAATCACACAGGTAATGTTTGCTGATCTCCATGCTGCTGGCGCACAAATCACACCTTGAACAGCGTTCACTTTATCCCGTGCACTTAGAATGACGGTGATTTCTCCTTATGTAAGGAGTATTAAAAGCAGCAAACGGACAGCTGTAATAGGAAGTCAAAAAACTATTGCTTCTCACTAATAGCATCAAGAAGTAACTACAGAAATGGACGAGAGACAGAACAGTCTAGGGCCATTTAGTCTAGTAATTATAACAAGTATGAGTATTACTACTGTTTATTGAGCACCTATTATATGCTAGACACTATCCTGGGAGCATCACAAATATGATCTCACTTAATCCTTAAAGCAGCCTTGCAAAGTAGATACTCTGAATCCTCCTTTTACATTTACAGAAACTAACACTCAAATAATTAAATGATTAATTAAGGCCGCCTAACTAACAGGACTATCACATAAGGGCGCCTGGGTGGCTCAGTCGATGAAGCATCTGCCTTTGGCTCAGGTCATGATTCCAGGGTCCTGAGATCTGGCCCCGCATTGGGCTCCCTGCTCAGTGGGGAGTCTGCTTCTCCCTCTCCCTCTGCCCTCTCCCTTCCCCCATGCTGGTGCGTGCTCTCTCTCTCTCTCAAATAAATAAAATCTTAAAAAAAAAAAAAAAAAGAACCATCACTTGAATGCAGTTATATCTTGTTGAGAAGCCCACACTTTTCCACTACATCAGACTATATCCTAGTGAGTGCTAACCTGAGGTAAATTTTCACTTAATTCACTTAATTCCACTATAGTAGAGCCATTAATCCTAATGACTTTGAATCATTCAGTCAACACTGTATTTTGTTAAGGAGACAGGAAAAGACATACATTTTTGGAAGCTTTTAATAAAAAGTAGTTAAAAGGAAAAATAGTTTGAGCACTTAAGAATTTTAAGCACTAGTTACTAGGAACATTACCCTATGTGGATTCTTTTAACATTGCTAGATAAATGGGTCATTGCTATGGTTGTGACTGATAGTGCAGAAAACAGGTGGTCCCACTTCATAGATTTTTAAAGAGTATTTTTCTTTCTTCTCTCACCAGGAAACAATTCCTGCAATATTATCCCACAACGGATGACCACCAACATGCTGCGTTCTAGAAGCCTACCAGCATTTCCTACTGTTTCACCTCAAACGCAACCGCAAAAACTGACTGGAAGTTTGGGTTATAGTATTGACAAGTTACAAAATATTGCAGATAATTATGTTGCTTCCCAAGCAGAGAAACTGAATTCTCTGGTGAGTTCCGAGACCCTGAAAAAAGGTAAAGAGGATGCGTTTGTCAGTAGCTTTGAGTCTGCAAAAGCTGCGTATGAAACGGAAGCTGACCTTTCAGCCCGCGCCTCTGTCAATGGTGTCCCAAAAGGAACACTGGGGTTTCCGGCGGTCAAAGTTGATCATAAAGAATTGGCAGCAGAACCCAGATCAGACGATGACAGTCCTGGGGACGAGTCCTGCCCACGCCGACCTGATTACCTAAAGGGACTGGCCTCATTCCAGCACAGCCACAGCACTAGTGCAAGCCTCGGGCTAGCTTTTCCTTCCCAGAATGGATCCGCAGCCGTTGGACGTTGGCCGAGTCTTGTTGATAGGAACACCACCGATGAGTGGGAGAACTTTGCCTTTTCTCTGGGTTATGAGCCAGACTCCAGCCGAACTGCAAGTACTCACAGGTACTCGCATGGTTTTGCAGGCCCCCCTCTTTGTCTTACTATTCTTGGAAGAATCTCTACCCTTCTAGAAATGTCTTCATTCTGTCACTTCTCATCTACAACATATAGAATAATAACAAAAGGGTACCTTTCTCTTTATTTGAATGCTAGGTAGTATTGAATTCTATATTTTACCCAAGGCCAAACCATAAATAGTTACTAAAGAAAAAAATGCCTTGTGGTCTATTTAATTCTTACAGTTATTAGAGAAAAACTCTTCGGGGAAGCTATAAGATTTACAGTAGCAAGTAGCAACATCCCGCGAGAGTTTCTGTGGTGATGGGAATGTTTTGCCTGTGCCGAGAAGTACAGTAGACACTGGCCACATATGCCTGTTGAATGCTTGAAAGGTGGCTAATGCCCACCACCCTATTGCACATCATGGCTGTGGAATAGAATGGTGTTTAATAGACTGTGTGCCTAAACTATATTGCTGATGAATAAAGTGAAAAAAAGTGATGGCACATTTGTTAGTCTCAGTTAAACATTTTATGAACCTTTGTTTCACAGATTAAAATTATTACTACTCCTTACAGTGCTTTAAGGTAATCATTATGTACTTGTGTTCCTGATAATTGTGTTAGTAAGACTTTTGGGGTCTCTGTTTTAGTGTAACGGAAGACTGTTTGGTACCTATATGCTGTGGATTATACGAGCTCTTAAGTGGAGTTCTTCTCATCCTGCCCGATGTTATGCTTCAGGATGTGATGGACAAGCTCATTCAGGCAGATACACTGTTAGTCCTCGTTAACCACCCATCACCTGCTATACAACAAGGAGTTATTAAAGTAAGGATAAACTCTAGATGTGTTGTTTTAATTCAGAAAAATAAACATATGTATAGTTTAAAATTTGAATATATGTGCTAAAGTAGACCTAAAACTTTATTTTATTCTAAGGAATAAGGAACCAATATACAGCTGACCCTTGAACAACATGGGTTTGAACTGCATGGGTCCACTTATACATGCAGACTTTTTTTTATAAATATAATAGAGTACTGTAAATATATTTTTTCCTCCTTATGATTTTCTTAATCACACTTTCTTTTCTCAAGCTTACTTTATTATAAGAATACAGTATAGAATATGTAGAACATACAGACTATGTGTTCATCGACTGTTTATATTCTTAGTAAGGCTCCCAGTCAACAAGAGGCTATTAGTAGTTAACGTTGGGGGAGTCAGAAGTCATATGCAGATTTTCAACTGTGGGGGGTCATTCATGGGTCAACTGTAGTTTGTTACTTCTTAGTCTAGTCATTTTTTATATGTATTATCATGCAATTTTAAGCTCTCCTCCATATATCGATTCATACCCATATGTTTTTTAAGTCAACCAACTAAAAGGAACACATAGTTCATTGGAAATCTTGCCTGCAGTGTAGTATCAAATCTTAAACATTTACTTCAAGTTTTAGCTCAGCTGTCACCTTTTCAGAGACCCGATCACCTTTCAGAATAGCTTCCCTCTAGTGTCCGACTCATTTATCCTAGCATCCCAGCTATGTCTTGGAGTTATCTTTTTATTCTATCTGTGTGCTTGTTCTCTCACTCTCCCACACTGACATATCAGCTCCATGAGGATGGGCATCGTGTGTCTAGTGTACACTAGGTACTAAGCGTGGTGTCAAATGAATAAACGTTTGATATGATTGGTTTCCATTAGGAAACAACCCAGTATTGAAATGGTCTTTTAGAGATTCTCATTTTCTTTAGTTTGTCTTAAGTAGGATGTTTTTTAAGCACTTGCAATTCAACCCAGTATTTATTGAGCTTCCATCCCATGTGCAAAACACTGGGCTAGTTGCTGTGTGGGATATAAAGTAGAGTGATTTCCACATTCCAGGTGTTTATAGTCTAGTGAGGGAGAAAGACATCTACCCAACTAAATAAAAAAGACTTCTTGTGATGGGTGCTTCAATGGCAATATCAATAAAGAAGAGTGGGAGCATAGGAAAAGCAATTAATTTTGATGGGGGAACCAGGGAAGGAGTCATGCAAAAGGTACATTTGGTATCATGCTGTAAACTTGGGAAGTTTTTAAGTAGGTCAGTAAATAGATGTGTGTTTGGGGAAGAATCATCTATCAGCACTGTGAGGGAGTGATTGCAGCGGAGGAGAGGTGGAAGTATTCTGTTTAGCAGGCTAGCACAGTAGTCCAGGGCAGAAATGACGAGTTCCTGATCTGGGAAATGGGAAGTCGAAGGACACGCAGATTTCAGAGACATTCGCTGGAATGAAGGGGAGAGAACTTCATAATTACACGTGGGCAATCAGGGCTGGAAAAGCCAAAAGTGAGATTAACTGTGAAATCTAGGAAGGTGGCGCTACTGTGTGCTCTAAGATTGGAACCACGAAAGATTGATTTTGGAAGGAAAATAATTAATTGGGTTTTACACGTGTTGCATTTAAGATGCCAGGGAAGGGTGGAAATTCAGGCCTGCGCTCAGGATAAATAATCTGTCAGGAAGTCTAGAAATGAAGTCTAGGAGATACACATAAACACACACGCACACATATTTACAGGGAGAGGATAGTACAGTGTTGACTATTTTTTTTTCCTTCAGAATAAAGCACAAATATAGTGCTTATACTCGAGTGAGCTACCAGTCTACTAGGTGTCCATGCTTAGCTAAAAAAGTTAGTCTCCCCATAACAAAAGTATTAAGATCGCCAAGATAAAGTCATCATTAGCATTCCAAAGTAGTCAGAAACAAAGATTATTTTTGTTTTGCTATGGAGATTGCATTTTTTTGAGCTTTCTACATTCTATACATATGAAAGTAAATGGTAACTTACAAGTATTTGCCTGATTTCTGTACATCCTATAAAATTTTAATGCATTATGTAAATTGTCTTAATTTTTTTTCTTAGCTATTAGATGCCTATTTTAATAGAGCATCTAAAGAACAAAAAGATAAATTCCTAAAGAACCGTGGCTTTTCCTTGCTAGCCAACCAGTTGTATCTTCACCGGGGAACACAGGAATTGTTAGAATGCTTCATTGAAATGTTCTTTGGTCGACGTATTGGCCTTGATGAAGAGTAAGTGTGTTCTTTCCTCCACCACAATCGGGGATCTTTTGTCTTAAAAATAAAATTTATTAAGCTGACTCTTAATAAAATTATTTGGTCATTTTTAGAAAAAACCCTCTAAAAGTCATTTTCCAGGTAAATCAATTTATTATTTTCCATATGATTTTGTTTCTAACTTCTTCCTTTGTATTTCATTCATTAGTTAGAAACTAGACACAAATTCTTCATCAAAGGAAAGAAGGTGACCAGTTAAGATTTGTCACACAGTGTTAACATGAGAAGGGTAGCTGAAAAGAGGGTGGCTCATCTTTGCCCAGCAGCAGATCACATGAGTGATCCATAGAGAAGCTTCCCACTCCCCTCAGCCTCCAGGTTTTCTGGGAGAAGAGCACATCCATCACCTGGAATTCCTGGTTTGGCCAAAAAGTGAAACTGTTACCACTCTGTGTTAGCGTAGTGAGAAATGTGTGTCTCATCATCATTATTTTTTTTTTTTTAAGATTTTATTTATTTATTTGGGAGAGGGAGAGCACGAGCAGGGAGGAGAGGGAGAAGCAGGCTCCCCACTGAGCAGGGGCCCAGTGTGGGGCTCGATCCCAGGACCCCCAGGATCGTGACCTGAGCCGAAGGCAGACGTTTAACAGACTGAGCCACCCAGGCGCCCCTCTCATCATCACTATTAAGTGTCTTCTGCTTATTAAGTAGACCAATTCAGACCTTGAAGAAGTTACTTATTAATCGCAGTAGTGACAAAAGCACTTTCATTTGCATACAGGTTTTAGCTTTTTCCAAGCAATTCTGTAGTATCTCCTTTGATTCTCACAACAGCCTTGAGAAGAAAGTAGGGCAGGTGTCTCCACACATATTTGACAGATAAGGAAAATAAGGTACAAAACGCTTAAATAATTTCCTTCTATCACAGAGGCATATAGTATTGGGACAAGAACTCATTCCTTTCATTAGACCTCTTTTTACTAGTTCAAGGTCTCTCAAATACTATTATTATTATTATATGTTATGTAATAGTAACAGCATATATTCATACAAATTATATATGTTGTGCGTTATATGTTAATGATTATACTCTTATAATTATAATTTATTGTTAATTACTTTATTAATAATAAATTTATAATATCTTCCTGTGCACTTGTTATATAGACCCCTAAAGCAGGAGTCCTTTGGACACCTAAGGGGCCTATGGACAAATTAAAGCAAGTCAGTTAAAACCATGAAATTGTATACATGTTTCATTGGAATGTTTGTATATTTACCTTGGGACAGACTTCTAACAATACTTTTATTTTACTGGAGGTGGGGTCTATATCTTAAAGGTTGAGATTCCTTGCTCCCCAAATTTATTTTTATAGCTTCAAAATCTAGTTAGCAAAACAACCCATATTGCAATCATTTTTCCTTATTTGGTGGTGAATTGCTTCTAATGTGCTCTTAACTGTGTCTTTTTCATTACAGATTTGACCTGGAAGATGTGAAAAACATGGGAATTTTTCAGAAATGGTCTGTCATTCCTATTCTGGGACTAATAGAGACATCTCTATATGACAACATGCTTTTGCATAGTGCTCTCTTACTTCTTCTCCAGATATTAAATTCTTGTTCCAAGGTAGCAGATATGTTGCTGGATAATGGTCTACTGTATGTGTTATGTAATACAGTAGCAGCCCTGAATGGATTAGAAAAAAAGTAAGTTTTAAATCATTATTTAAAATGGCACCATCTGATAAATACTTTAGAAAGGGAAAACTTTAGTAATAGGTACATTAGAGCATCTGATTTTTCAAAACACTTTTAAAGACTATCTTTCCTATCAAACTGATTAAATTAATTAAATTAAATTGAATTTGGAGGTGAGAATATTTTCCATCATTTTCAACAAGCTTACTTAAAAAGATGTTTACTGGGCGCCTGGGTGGCTCAGTTGGTTAAGCGACTGCCTTCGGCTCAGGTCATGATCCTGGAGTCCCGGGATCGAGTCCCGCATCGGGCTCCCTGCTCGG